GGACGAGCCAATGGACATAGCTGTGACAAAAAGTGGAGATCTAGTTTATATTGACGAAAATGAAAGAACAGTGAACATTGTGAAGAATGAGAAGATAGAGGAGGTGATCAGACTACAGAACTGGAGACCTCACGGTGTCTGTAGTACCTCCTCTGGTGATCTCCTGGTCATTATGTACAATAATGATGACTGTCCGTCAAAAGTTGTCCGTTATTATGGGGCAAAAGAGAAACAAACCATCCAGTTCGATGATAAGGGTAAACCTTTGTATTCTTCTGGTTTGCTCTATTACATTACCGAGAATAGGAACCTGGATATCTGTGTATCTGACTACGAAGCTAAAGCAGTCGTGGTGGTCAATCAGGCCGGAAAACTGAGATTCAGGTACGATGGACATACTCCGGTTATGAAGAACAAACCATTCTGTCCACGAGGAATCACCACAGACAGAGAGAGTCACATCCTTACAGCTGATTATAGCAATGAGTGTGTCCACATCATAGACCAGGATGGACTGTTCCTCCGTTACATAAATTGTGGACTGAGTGAACCCTATGGACTGTGCATAGATATAAATGACAATTTGTTTGTTGCTGAATCGAAAAATAGAAAAGTGAAGAAAATCATATATCTGAAGATAAGTGAAATCTAAGATCGTATTCATAAAAACACCCTTGTTTTTTCTACAAGTTCATGCATATGGTATTGAATCGGTTCTTTTATGCAAAATAGAGAACTACAAACAATAAAACCCGCCAATGTACCTAAACCTCCATTATGGCATTAATGTAAAGGATGATATATGAATATGCATAAACAGTTCACAATTCATAAAACAGGAGTAATATATGAAATGAACTATGAAGAATCTGAAGGCGCATGGAATATAAACCATCTCAATGTGCATGATGTGTTATATGTGTATCTGTATGCTATGAACAAAAAGTGGTTTATCTGTTTACCCCTCTTTGTAAGGGGTGGGATTTTTTTTCAATTTATCAAGATTTTGATGAAATTGTTTCTTTTCTGGCTTGGAAATGTATATTTTTTTATTTATTTATATATTTATTTTTGTTAAGTTTTATGCCATAATTTGCTTTTGTTTAGTTATACATTATATCTGATAATTTACACTTAAATAGAGAAGTCACTAGCTCTAGGTATAATGCTAATAGAATCGCTGCACTCACGTCATTTGGAACCTTTTCGGCTACACGATATACTGTGCATGTACATAATATGGTGTATTACACTTTAGTGCAGTCACTGTGTATGGAGTTGTTGGCATAATTTTGAATTAGCGCTTCACATGTAGTTCAGTATGTTGTATATGTAAATGATTTCTTAGCAGTATTCATGAATTAGCGCATTGTTGTCTGGGCCAAAGCTACTAAAAAATGAAGGCTGCTTTTTTTCAGCACACATACAGTATCTGTTATCTATGCCTCACCAAAAAAATAAAAATTCTGTAGTAGTAAACTCCTCTGGACAAGGTCAAAAATAAAGATGATTATGATCGAGGCACTAAAATTCAAAGATATCCAATCCTCAGAAAGGAAGGATTAACTCTTTAGTTTATAATTTTAATTCCAAAAGTCTTCAATTAAAGCTTGAAATCTTCTTATGCAACAATTTTTTGTTAACTAAAAGTTTTCCAAATGTGATTCACCGGCCATTTGGTGGAGGACGTATAAACCGAAGTTCCCGTGTCACAGTGGGTGTTAGCACATAAGAGATCCCTCACTGCTCAACATGCTCAATGGGCAATGGCCCTGCAGTACCAAGTATACAACAAAATTTGCAGCCTTCCAATGGTGGCACCTCCATATGCATAACAATTCTTGAGAAGGATGTTAAACATCATACAATTAAACAATCATCAATGTGATTCAATGTTCTATGAAGTTCTTAGAAAAGGTCTTATAGGTTGATAAATTCATCCAACATTTAGTATTTTTCAAATTCCTTTATATATGGCCCCCAAAAAACCCATGTTTTTTTTTTAGCATGATATGAAATTAGAAGTCTTTTTTCGTGTTGGCTTTGGTAGGAAACATTAATGCACTTAAACATTATAAAATGATTGAAGTAAAAACAAGAATCTAAAGTACCATAGCCTTGTAAGTATAAAAAAATATTAATTTTAAGAGCCTAGTACTAAGTAATAACTAGGTAATAACTCTCATCCTAAAGTGTATTTGATTGATTGATTCTCCATTAGAAAATGCACAATATGTAAATTTAAGGGATAATATCCCTCTGCTCCACATTTCACGACTTTTTTTTTTAAAATTCCAAACATTGAAAATTTGATATGGTCATTAGAAAGATCAATTATTTTTAATCTCACAATTGAATTAGAAATATGAGGTATATATAAAAATAATGTTTAATGTCAAACCTGTCTAAGTCTGATTAGAAAACATTATGAAATGTTGCTTATTACATCAGAATATCAAATTGTTTTCTTTACTTGTAAAATAATATGCATCCATCAACGAGAGTTATCTTTCCATTATCGCCCTTGAAATTCTTTTTTAATGAAATGAAATATTAATTAAAAGTTTATAAACAAGCCTGCAGCTTTTATTTCTGTACAATTAAAAGACTTTCACGTTTAGAAATAGATTTTTTATCAATTTACACCGTTTAAAGGAACTGAGTGTAAATGTTCTAGGTAAACTATTCAAAATAATTTTTGAATATACTAGCAATAGAACTAAAAATCAACCTCTGAACAATCTGATAGGCTCGCTTGAGTTAACAATAAATTGGTCCATATGATAGAGAATTGCAAACTCTGGCATGACAAATTACTGAATTTCATGACAAAATGTCTGCAGAAAGTTATCTTTCTTATCTGTAGAATTATCTCTCTTATCAGAGTATCAATGAACCTTAAATCCCCGGTACATACAAACCAGGAAGTAAAATACCTGACAGATAGATAACACAAAGCTTATGTGATCAAAGTACCCAGGGAGGATTTGATCAACAGATCGCCATCACTGTCTGAATTCAGGTAGGCCATCTTATGTTATATTAATCTGATATTAATGATGCAGGCCCTTTTTTGGCCTTTAGCATGGTTTGAAAATTCAAAATATTATTTGAAAGCAAAACATTATATACAAAGTTTCTTGACTTGTATTTTAAGATAAGGGGTAAATTAGTTTGACCTCCTTCTAGGCCTCTCAGAAATCTTTAAACTTCACTCAATTATGATGAATCCAAAGGAGAGTTTGTATTATTTACAATGTAAGGCACTTTGTGTTTGTCAATTTATTACTATTTTTTTTTAGATTTTCAGTAATGCTAAAAGTTTAACCATCTCATATGGCCCCACTTCACTTGTAATTAAAAGGACAACAATGTAATATGGGGATTCTTGGAAATGGATTTTGATTGTTGTTTGACATTGCTTAATTTTTCACTCCTCTTCAATTACCAGTAAAGGCCTGCAAAATTAGGCCTACTATGTCAAAGGACCTCAATTCTAAGGTCTCATCAAATAAACCTTTCAATTTCCCTTAATTTTTTTGTGAATGACCATCAAGATCCGTTACTTTATATCCATATAGAAAAATTAACTAGACCCCGATTTATACCTTTTCTGCAAGTGACCTTAGACTTGTCAAAATGACATTGAGACTTGTCAATAAACAATACTGTGAAATCACCAATTTTCGTGGGGGTTTAATTTTCGTTGTTTTCGTGGTACAAAGAGACCCACGAATTTATGTCCACCACGAAATGTAAATTTTTATATGCACAACTACTGAAAAGTTCCTCATCCACGAAATCAAATCCCAACGAACCATCATTTTTTCCTTCAAACCACGAAAATTTGACCCCACGATAATAAATGATTTTACACTACTGATTTTATTTATGAAATAATATATATCTCCATTTCAGATCCACACATTTAATCATGGACCCCCGTACCAGTGCCCAGGATGTGATGCGATGTGACCTGTGTGAGACCGCTGTGGTACAGATGCACTGTGATACATGTCTTATCAACCTGTGTACAGCTTGTGTAGGAAAACATATGAAATCTGATGGATCCAAAAAACATGAAATTGTTCAATGCAAGCTTCGAAAAACCATTTCCAAATACCCAGGATGCACATTTTATACAGAACGATGTAAAATGTACTGTAAACAAAAACAGAAATCACCAGAATCTGGATCCTCTTCTCCAGTCAAACAGCTGCTTGATGAACCAGAGACAGTCAACACCATAGACACTGGGTATGGAAGCCTTTACAATGTGGCCTGTCTGAGTGATGAAAAAATCTGGACAAGTGGACTTGACAACACCATGAAACTCTCCAGCATCAATCTGAGATCACTACTCAAGTCAATCACAACCAAGTCAGGGTACATACCATATGACATAGCAGTGACAAAAAGTGGATATCTAGTTTATACTGATTACAAAGACAGAACTGTGAACATTGTGAAGAATGAGAAGATAGAGGAGGTGATCAGACTACAGAACTGGAGACCTTGGGGTGTCTGTAGTACCTCCTCTGGTGACCTCCTGGTTATCATGGACAGTGATGGTTACCCATACAAAACAAAAGTTGTCTGTTACTCTGGATCCAGAGAGAAACAAACCATTCAATTTGATGATAAAGGTTCACCTCTCTATTCATCTGGTCCTTTTAACAGATACATAACTGAGAACAGGAACCTGGATATATGTGTGTCTGACATTAGAGCAGTAGTGGTGGTCAATCAGGCCGGGAATTTGAGATTCAGGTTCACTGGACATCCTCCTGCTCAAAAGAACAAACCATTCACTCCACGAGGAATCACCACAGACAGTCAGAGTCACATCCTTACAGCTGATTATTACAATGACTGTGTCCACATCATAGACCAGGGTGGACAGTTCCTCTGTTACATAGCTTGTGGACTGAGTCTACCCCATGGACTGTGTACAGATACAAATGACAATCTGGTTGTTGCTCAACATGGATATAGACAAGTGAAGAAAATCAAATATCTCAAGTGAAATCTAATACATGTACTTCATATTTACGAAACTTTTCTTTATGAAATTATATTTTCTCGTTCATTTTGTGCAATTCATAAAAAGCAAGCTAATTCAGAGAATTTGTGTCCCCCACTTAGGGAAAAAGTCAAGTCCCCCTGACTGAATTTGTAGAATTATTAAATGTATACATGTATACTGAAGCAAATAAAATACATGTATGTCAATATGCATATAAAGATTTGATTGCTTATTCTTTATTATGTGTATAGAAGATTCTTTTTATATGGAATATTTATCACACTTGTAATTGATTTCATAATCTCAAATTTTTTATTTCACATGCTGAATACTATCATTTAGTAATAAACTAGAACTGTCCAAACGGGACAAAATACCCCCGCTGGGTTTTTCAGAAGTAAGTTTTTCAATAATAAAGATATGTATCTAACATGAATTATGAAATTTTATTCCAGTGACCTTGAACTTCCCCAAATGACCTTGGGTCAAGTTCATGACACACTCTTGGGTCATGGGCAATTTTTATGTGAATTGAGAACCTACCAATTTTATCAATAAGAAAGATATGGACCAGACACGAATTATGAAATTTTTCTACCAGTAACCTTGAACTTCTCCAAATGACCTTGGGTTAAAGTCATGAAACACTCTTGGGTCATGGGCAATCTTTGTTTGAAATGAGAACCAACCTTTATCCATAAAGAAAAATATGGACTGGTCAAGAATATGATATTTTTACCAGTAACCTTGAACTTCACAAAATGACCTTGGGTCAAGTACATGGCACACCCTTCTGTCTTGAGCAAACTTTGTGAGAAATAAAAACCTACCAAGTTTATCCATAAAAGATATGTATCAAATATGATTTATGAAAATTTTCTTCCAGTGACCTTGAACTTTCCCAAATTACTTTGGGCAATCTTTGTGTGAAATGAGAAACTACCAAGTTTATCCATAAGAAAGATATAGACCGGACACGAATTAATTTGATTTGACTTGATTTGAATTCGCTGCTATCCCACTCACATCAAGTGAGTTTATCACCTATAAGACGAATCTAAGGGGTTGAGAGTTGAATATAATGTATAAATTGGTTAAATAATAATGTAATATCTTCAATTAGGGAGTGGATGTTAGTTGATTGACCAATGCTGAAAAGTGGAGAAATTCTCCCCAACAATGTGCAAAAAATCTTTTTTGCATAACAGGATCTGTAGCACTATGGTAAAAAAACTAAATTATAAAACAATAATGTTACGTTCTGCAGCTACTTATCTATCAGGAAAAGTTTTTTTGAAACGTGTAATTGTTATCTTTACAGTTATAATAATATAATCACGTGTTTAACCCTGACAGTTTGTACGAAAGCCTATTAGGATCAATCTAGAGAGAAAAAAAATTAAAAGGCGTTATAACGCCTTTCGAAAAGGCGTAATAACCCGAAAAAGGCGTTATAACGCCTTTCCATTCCAAAAGGCGTTATTACGCCTTTTAAAAAGGCGTTATAACGCCTTTCTAAAAGGCATTATAACGCCTTCCCATTCTAAAAGGCATTATTTCGTCTTTCTAAAAGGAGTTATTTCGTCTTTCCAAAAGGGTTATAATGCTTTTCCAATAATCATTATTTTAACAGGCCCGTGCTTTTAACAACAACAACCCCCCCCCCCCCCCACCACCACCCCCACTCTACTGGCAAAATTCGAGGGGGGGGGGCTTCTCGGTAAAACATTGTTTAAATGCAATAATTTGCCACAGTTTTACACACTGCAACAAACTGTTCAGGAACCAAGCACCCAATAGTTAATTATGATACTTAAACTGCAGCACTGAAGACTTTTCCCCAAAAGTGTGTGTGAAGGGGGGGGGGGGGGGGGGGGGGGTACCCCATTCGCACTCGTTCTACTGGCCTACTTGAAAAGGAAAATGGAGAGGCGTTATTTTATGTTAATAAATATATGAAATATTTAATTAAAACCATCTTTATTCATGCAAATCTCTATATTCCTGCAGATCACACTGACAACTGTTTGCATTCGTATTAAGAGAAGGCAACACTCTTCTTGTGAAGATACGATATAAACAAATGTATCTTGGCGCTTTGGCTGCAGTGGATTAAAATTCATATCATTTCAAGATATTTTTCTCTCTTCTTGGAAAAAAGCAGGCAAACTTTTTGCATAAGTATAATGAGCAATTGAAATCAATGATCCTTGGAAGAGGTGTGTCTGGTATTAAAGAAGGACTTATTTAATTCAACATTGAAAATATATGGAGCATTGATTTAAAAAACTTTTATCCTGGAAATCTAATTGTTATCTGTTTAAATTATTTTTTTGAAAAATTAGTCCTATATCAAATTGTAAAATTAATGTTCCAAAGGTAAGATTTCTGCACACCCCCCTCGGTTGGGCTAAATGTGTTTAGTCATGTATTTAAAATAAAGACGTAATAACGCCTTTTGGAAAGGTATAATAACGCCTTTTAGAAAGGCGTTATAACGCCTTTTGGAAAGATATAATAACGCCTTTTCGAAAGGCGTATTAACGCCTTTTAGAAAGGCGTAATAACGCTTTTTGGAAAGGCGCAGGCACGTAGTATCCGGGGGGGCCCGGGGGGGCCTGGCCCCCCCCACTTTTTTCCCTAACATTACCTTTACTATAGAAAATGTCTATTGAAAAGATGGTTGGCCCCCCCCCACTTTTTACCACAGTATATACAAATAAAGAAATATAAGAAAAAATTGGAAGTGAAAGGAAGTTCGACTTGAAAAAAGTTGGCCACCCCCCCCCCCCCCCCCCCCCCCCCCCCCCCCCCCCCCCCAAGAAATAGGATTTTCGAGTTTGGGTAAGTCTCAATTTTCCTTTTTTTTTTTTTTTTTTTTTTTTTTTTTTTTTTTTTTTGCTTGTTAACTTTTTTTTTAGGTAAAGAAAAAAAAATTTTCTCAGGTTGGCCCCCCCACTTTCAAAAACGATGCTACGTGCCTGAGGCGTAATAATGCCTTTTGGAAAGGTGTAATAACGCCTTTTGGAAAGGCGTAATAACGCCTTTTTGAATGGAAAGGCGTAATAATGCCTTTTAGAAAGGCGTTATAACGCTTTTTGAATAGGCATAACAACGCCATTTGGAATGAAAAGGCGTAATAACGCCTTTTGAAAATGCGTTATAACGCCTTTTTTCGCGTTGTTACGCCTTTTCGAAAGGCGTTATAACGCCTTTAAATTTTTTTTTTCTCTAGATTGATCCTAATATAGGCTTTCGTAAGTTTGCTAGTATGAGCATGTTTTACTGTCAGTGGCAGTTCTAGGAAGGATTTTTCCTCTTCCACTTAATGTCAATTTAATGTTTAATTAACCTTATTTTAATGTTTTTGGCTCACACACTTACAGTGATTGCACTTGGGCTATGGGCTACGATAGGGTGTGGTATATGTTATCCAGTAATTGAGAATGATCCTTAAATGTTTACAAAAAAATGTAGGATGTTAAAATGTAAGGCTCATGATTGAAATTTAAAAGTCAAAAAGTTCAATCTTCTTGTTTCTTCATTAATGATTATTTTATTGCCGTGCATTTTCTTTTTTTTTAATTTTCTTTTTACTTAGTTTTCTCGTCACCGAAATAGGATTCACAGAAATTTTAGTTATTACTGCCACTTTTTATGCCCCTGTAATTTGGGGATAGGTGGTTTTTGCCCCGTCCATCTGTCTGTCCAGCTGTCTGTTTGTCCTCAAAAACTTTAATCTTGTCCATAGCTTTTGAGTGGGTAGAGCTATGGCTTTCACATTTTACAGTTGTATTTCCTTGTGACAAAAACTTTCTTCGGGTTCCACCAAATTTGACCTCATGACCTTGGAGTTTGACTCACTTTAACCAAAAAAAAAACAACTTAATTTTAAACTTGCATGGCCATAAATTTTGGACAGTTGATGTTGTCATACTTCACATGTGTATTCATTGTGACAAGCTCTTTCAATTGGTATATAGGAATTTATATGATAAGAGCTAATTTTGGCCCCCTAAAAATCAATATTTTAGAATGACATTCAGATATGTTTTATTTATATTTATTTTGTAACAGAGATTATATATTATTAGAAATATTTCCAATACATTTTTAACATTCATATGCTCTCACTAGCTGTAAATGACATGAGAACAAATGCTATTTTTGCTATCTAACAAACAAGAGGCCGACGGGCCTTATAGGTCACCTGAGCATTATGCAACAACTTTCCAATTATTGAATTTGATTCATGTTTTAAGCCAGATGCTATATGGCATTCACAATTTTGAAAGAGGCACCATTGATCATCATAACAAAACACTTAGCAGTTGCTTAGCTTGGTTACTGAATAACCATACGCAGAGTAGGGGAACAAAAATGCATTCCAACTAATCAGTAATATTCAGCAATAAACAGTAGTGCTCCTAACACTGTGACAAAAACCCCTGACCCTAGGTCCACACATTGCACAAATTTTAAAAAGGCACCCTTAAAATTGCCTATAAAAAAATAAAAAAATGTTTTATAAATACAAAGGAGCAGATTTCAAACAATTAATTCATTTTCAGTATATAAGTAGAGCCCACCTCCACCCCTGACCCTGGGGCCTTGAAATTCACAATTCTGCAAGATTAGGGCCCTTGCTCATCATAACTATAAAGGTAGTTCATCTGCTTCAAACCCAGAGACAGAAGAAAATTTTCAGAGATTTAATGTATTTTCACTATATAATCAATAGAGCCCCGCCCTATCACAAGAACCCCTGACCCTGGGATCAAAAACTTCACAATTTTGATTGAGGCACTCTTGTTCATTATAACTATGCACTTAGTTAGTTTATTTAATACCCAGGAGCAGAGAAGAAAATTTTCAAAGAATTCATGTATTTTCACTATATAATCAATAGAGCCACCTCTCCCCCCCCCCTAACACTAGAAACCTTGACCCTAGGGTCATAAAATTCGCAATTTTGGTTGAGGCACTCTTGCTCATCATAACTATGCTTATAGTTAGTTTATTTAATACCTAGAAGCAGTGAAAAAGATTTTTAAAGAATTCATGTATTTTCACTATATAATCAATAGAGTCACACCCCCCCCAACCCCCACCCACCCACCCACCCCCCCCAACAACAACAGAACCCTTGACCCTGGGGCCATAAAATTCACAATTTGGGTAGAGGCATTTTTGCTCATCATAACTATGCACTTAGTTTATTTAATACCCAGGGGCAGAGAAGGAGATTTTCAAAGAATTCATGTTTTCCACTATATAAATAGAGCCCCGCCCTAACACCAGAACTCCTGAACCTGGGGCCATAAAATTCACAATTTTGGTAGAAGCACTCATTCTCATCATAACTATGTACTTAGTTGGTTTATTTAATACCCAGGAGCAGAGAAGAACATTTTCAAAGAAATAATGCATTTTCACTGTATACTTAATATTTAGCCCCGCCCTAGCACTAGAACCCCTGACCCCAGGGCCATGAATTTCACAATTTTGGTAGAGGACTCAATGCTGATTACAATCATGCAAACAGTTTGACTGCTTGATGTCCAGGAGTAAAGAAGATTTTTAAAGATTGCATTAATTTGAATGGTTTTGGCCCCACCCCTCAGGCCCCAGGCGGCAGGGATCATGAAATTCAAAAATTTGTTCCCCTTCACCCATAGATGCTTTGTGTCAAATTTGGTTGAAATTGATTCAATGGTTGCAGAGAAGAAGCTGAAAATGTTCAAATGTTAACACACGACGCACGAAACACAACACACGACGCACGACGACGGACGAAAACGGATAGCAATAGGTCACCTGAGTTTACTCAGGGGACCTAAAAAGCCAAATATATGCCTTTTTCTTGATGTTTTTTTTTTCTTTTTTCATAGAGCGCAGTGTAGAACATACATAATTTTTCTGTCACTTGTCAGTATTGGATAGATACATCTTTTATAAAAATATAAAGCTTTTTATAGGCTGCACTCTATATTTTCTGAAAGAAAACCTGCTTGAAAATAAGTAGTTTTATACAAAATATGCTAAAATGGCGGGAAAAGATTATTTTTATTATGTAATATTTCTAAAATCTCATTTTGATCAAAATGAAAAGGACCAATAAAGGTCGCATATATATAGCTGTACATATTAAAGCTATATATGAAGTAAAAATTAAGATATCCATTTTAAGGGCCCAATTAAGGCACATACCATATACATGTATCCTTCTTTGACCTTTAACTAAGAGTTAGACCCACTTTTCAAAAAAAAAAAAAAAAAAAAAAAAAAAAAAGGGTGTATTTCTTGTGACAAGACCCACCTTCAGATACCAACAATTTTGACCTTTTTGAACTCCCGATCAACGTTGGAGATAAACTTGCATTTAAGAAATTTAAACCTTCATCATAAGCTGCCATACAAGGGCATCAGTGTTTCAAAAACACATTATTGATTTTTGTTACAATTTGTTAAAATAAAGAGCATTTGACAATGAATAAACATTAGAAATTACTGATCTCAGGCTCTATCAACAAAGATCACTCTTCAGAAGGCTAATATGGCAGCAAATCAAAGCCATAATGATGAGCATGAAAAACATCGTATAAGCAGAAATTTTAGCGAGGATTTAATTTTGGCATTAGTAGCAAGGGAGTTGAGATTGCTAATATTAAATAAACCTTCTTTTAATTAGTAAACATTTAAAAGTGCTAAAATTACATCTCGATAAAATACTATTTTTATGAACAAAGCTCTTCAAAACAATGTAATTACTGTATACAGGGTTATTTTCGCCCCGTCTTATTTTTGCCCTTTCACACTTGCAAACAATTTTGTCCCGTTTTAAAGTCGCCCAAGCATTGTTTTCTTTAAGAAAATATACTGTATAATATTTGAATTCACCCCGTTTTAAATTCGCCCAAATGATAGTAAGGCGAAAGGGGCGAAAATGAAACGCAGGCGAAAATGAAACACGGGCGAAAATTTCCCTTTATACAGTAGTAAGTTTTGTTTTATACTTAAAAGGAAACAAGAATTTTGAAGATTTAATACATTTTTACTATATGATCAATCTACAGTTCTGTCCTAATTACTGAACCGGTGACCATGGGGCCATAAAATTCACAATTTTGGAAGAGGTGTTCTTGGTCATAATAAATATGTACTTTTTTTTTAGCTTATTTGACACCTAGAAGCAGAGAAGGAGATTTTCAAAAATTTATGCATTTTCACTATATAATGAATAGAGCTCCAGCCTGACACTAGAACCCCTGACCCTGGGGCCATAAAATTTACAATTTTGAAAGAGACACTCTTACTCATCATAACTATATACTTAGTTTATTTAATATCCAGGAGCAGAGAAGAAGATTTTCAAAGAAATGATGCATTTTCACAATATATTCTCTATAACCCCGCCCTAGCACTAGAACCCCTTACCCTCAGGCCATATCTTTTTAAATTTTGATAGAGGACTCGATGCTCATTACGTTCATGTCAACAGTTTGCCTGCTTGATGTCCAGGAGTAAAGACGAATATTTTTAAAGATTTCATTAATTTTAGAAGTTATGGACCCACCCCTCGTGTCCTAGGGTCAGGGACCATAAAATTCTCAATTTTATTTCCCTTCACCCATAGATGTTGTTTACCAAATTTGGTTGAAATTGGTTCAGTGGTTTCATAGAAGAAGCTGAAAATGTTCAAATGTTAACGCAGGACGGACGTAAACGGATAGCAATAGGTCACTTGAGTGACTCAGGTGACCTAAACAATGTTACTGAAAGAAGTTGGCATTGAAAAAAGTTTGTCTTAGTAACACTCCAGAAAAATAACATCTATGAACTGGAAATAGTGCAAAGGAGAGCAGCACACTGTGTTACTGGAAATAGAACAACCAGCACTGTGACTAGAGATCTGCAATAGCCTACACTACAACAGCGCAGATGTCATCAGGACTTTACCGTATCGTTCACTATCAGGTTGCAATACCATCACAAACCTACCTTGTACCAAGGGGAACTTATTTAACAGAACAGGGACATGGCTTCAGGTTTAAACATTTTTAGTTGTAAGATATATTGTAAGCATGTTGTGTTTTCTGCCTAATTAAAAAAAACAATTTTGGTGATAACTTTTGAATGACATATGATAGGATTTTCATATTTGACATAATGTGCCAAAAATAATGACATCTCTCCCACAGAGAAGCAGGGGACAACAATTCTTTGGCTTTGCTTATTCTGCCTTGTACAGAGCAAAGTGAAATAAAACAAATCATTAACTATTTTTATCATTTTATTAAAACTTGAATTTCTTGACAATAAAATATCAGCTGCCACAAATAAGTAGCTATGAACAAAGTTTTCGGACAAAATATTTCTGGTTTACCTTGAATAGTTTGTCCTGACTTTGATGGTCTATATATTATATAAAATAATATATTTCTACTAAATAATTATCGCTTAACTCTCAATTTAGCTTAATCTTTATCATTTTAAATTACTTGAAGTTTAATGCCTGCACATTGATGATGCTGTCTTTAAAAGACTGATTTATAATGTGCATTACACGGTTTCTATGGCATTGGGTGATAAACCCATGAGGTACATTATAAGTTACATGTAGTCTGTTCTTTTCCTTCTATGAAGATTAAAACAATCCAAACAGGTTGTTTGCATAGGCCATAGGTTTAACATTAGGGTGTGGCTGAAACAGAAAGAATATATATAAATTATGGAAAAACCCTCTAAAAGCAAAACACGTTCTTGTAATTATTTCAGTAACTTGATTTTTAGTCCATGCAGTTACAGAATATTTTACTTAAACAAGAATGTTCTCATAATTATGCATGTATGACATTATACATATATATTACATGGCTTCGAGGGCAGCATACCAGAATATTTGCCCCAAGGTGACAGGAAAGCCCTGGAGTGTTATGTCGCCCGATGCCGCAGGCAGAGGGCGACATTACACTCCAGGGCTTTCCTGTCACCGAGGGGCAAATATTCTGATACTGCTGCTCGAGAATTAAGCCATGTAATATATGGTATATAACATTTTTAAGCAGTGAACCCAAATCGATCAATTAACATATTTATTGAACACTATGTTCACATTTGTACATTGAGAATAATTCCGAAGTATCCCGTCCTGTTTCATGGCTGAATGTTTCCAGTATGCTGACACTCGTGTTGATAACCTTTGTTGTATTTAAAGAATTTTTCTCCTCAATTAAATTATCTAATTCCTCTGAATTCAAATAAACAAATCGCAGACGTTGTCTTGACTTTTTAACTTTCGCGGAACTATTTACATTTGCTTGGCAACTGCCTCTGTGAATTTAGAATCCGACGTAATTAATATGCAGAATGGTTGCACGCGAAGAAACATAACTGTGTTAGGGAGGGCATTGACATAAATGTTTCTGGGGAACATAACTGTATCCGGTGTGATTCGGCAGTTTTTCAGGGCATACAGATAAAAATATTATATTTGTGATATAATGGGAAAACTTCTTCAAAAATGTTATATAATCAAGTGTACTTACCACAGCATCAAATGATGTAAATTTTGGTGTAAGGTCATCTCCTCTCAAGGTCATAAAGGCCCCTTTGTTCCCCATCGTATCACTGTCAACAACAAAATATATTTCCCTGACATTTATAACCATTACCAAGTAAATTTCAAATGTAAATAATGTCCTTCCTTACATACATATACCTATGAGAAATTTCAGCCCGTACCTTCACATGGGAATCAATATTTAGGTTTACATTTGAATTATCATATATTACTTTTAACATTCAAATACAGATGTCTGGGATGTTCTGGATATATCAGAATTAACATTAAAATCCCTATACAAGGCAGAGGACCCTTTTTTTCTGAGTGAAGTTTTAGTTTTTAAGAAATCGTCATTTAGAAGCTGGTCCCTTCCCCAACACTTTATTTGCTGTAAGGTCGAGATCAGGCAGATTCCAGGACTTAAAAAAAGTACAAAAAATAAAAAAAAGTTCCATCCCCTCTCCCATGTAGACTTCCGAAATACATGTAGCATTTTTTATTGTTATAATATAAAGATAATACATGTATAATATGCCACCATATATTGTTTTACTATAATTTCTGTATAAAGCTTTCCTTTCCTTTATTTCTGTTCTTTCTGAACAACTTACCAGTACTTAGGTGCTGGACAACTTACCAGTAATTAGGTGCAGTACTTAGGTGCTGGACAACTTACCAGTAATTAGGTGCTGAGATGATAACTTACCAGTAATTAGGTGCTGAGAAGACAGTTATACATTTCCCATCGTGAGAGACCTCATATCCCTCTGGCTTAACCTCATGACTTCGTATAACATACTCCAAATTGTTCCTTTCCAGAAACTTCCTTGTGACATCAGGTCCAAACATGGTTCCCACCCCACGCTTACTCTCGGCCCGACCAGACATTGGTTGAGGATCGGACCACAGAAGCTCGCACATTAAACCTGATAAAAAAAAATTGAAATACAAGTTTTCTTCTGTTAAATCAACAAGTCCACATGTTATGGGAAACATGCTGACATCTGTTATCTGTGGTAAACTTACCTGATTCAGGTGGTTGTCTGTTTCTGTCGATTTTCCTGAGATCATCCAGAGTCACGTTGTCATCTTTAAACAAACCACCGTGCATTACCTACAGTCATAAACAACAATTAACTGGAGAAATTGTAAGACTGAATCTTATCCTTCCTCTTGACTAATTTTCGGGATTCAATGAACATTTGTGTTGGGTATAAACTACCAAAGCCTCCTTGTAAATAATTCCTTTTTATGTGATGGTGACCTTGAACTTGGACAGCTGACCTTGAATCAGTTTCGATCTGGAGAAATTAAAGGACTGAATCTTATCCTTCATCTTGATTAACTTTCAGGATGCAATGAACATTTGTGTTGGGTATAAACTACCAAAGCCTCCTTGTAAATATTTCCTTTTTTCTGATAGTGACCTTGAACTTGGACAGCTGACCTTGAAGCAGTTTCGATCTTATCATATTATCAGGTACTATGCAGTCTTTCTTAGTAATTGTATTACATGTATTTTCATTCAAGACAGACATTTTGGAGGATTAAAAATTTTAATTTAAAATCTAAACAGGTTTGTGGGAATAGATCTTGCAGGAGAAATAATAAGTTTTAATAGAAATAATGATTCTAAATTCAACATTTCTCCAGTTTGTAAATTCATGGGTAAGGGGTGCCCATAAAATCAATAATTGTTGAACTCCAACAAAATATAATTCCATAGGAGCTAATTGTACACAGCATTGGAATTACCCCAAGTACAATTTTTAAATATTTTTAAGTGACCTTTGATTGGCACAATTTCATGAGAAGTTATAAGTAAGTTTTGTGTTGTGCCCCTATGCTGTAAATGATTATGCAGTGTAGACTTACTAAAATTTTGTTGTTTATACAATGTGCTAATGGTAGCCAGTTAAATATTTCTGTGAAGAGGTCAGCCATTTGTGACGTATATCTACAATGGTTAAGGATTATATCATCCATTGAAATATTTACTCCATCTGCCAAACAACTTACATACATATATCTACATACAATAATTACTGGAATTTAGATAGATAACATAAATTGAGAGTTTGTGGGGGTTGTCAGAAAAAGGATACTTGGACTTTACTTCTCCCTCAAAACCATACATCTGATTCATTGTTATACTCTCATGGTTACCTGAAAACATACACAAAAATTTAAACATACATAAAGAGAAAAATATTTGAAAGTTTGTAAAAACAATGGGTTTTTGTCCACCGCTTTTGCAAAAGCGAGGGGACATTAAATCTCATTTGTCAGTCCATCAGTTTGTCTAGCTGTCCGTCCCTCACAAAAGCTTTAACCTTGTCCATAACTTTTGATTTAGTGGAGCTATGACTTTCATATTTTACATGTTAATTCCTTGTGATAAGACCTTTCTTTGGGTACCACAAATTTGACCACTTGACCTTGGAGTTTGGCCCACTTTCACACAAATATTTTAAAATTTTATGTTGGCCATAACTCTTTATGGTAAAAAATATAAGATTTTCATATTTGACATATATATTCTTTCATCGGATACCAAGAACTTTGACCTTTTGACCATCATCTTGGAGATTTCCATACTTATGAAAAAAACTTTAACCTTGACCATAACTTTTGAACAGTAAGGGCTAGGGCTTTGATACTTCATATTTGTTATTGATCTGAGAAGACCTTTCATTGGATACAAAGAACAATGACCCTTAGACCTTGACCTTGGAGTTTGACGTACTTTTCAAATACATTGACTTGGCCACACCTTTTGAACAGTAGATAGTAGGACTTTCATATTTCACTTATGTATTCTTCTTGGCAAGACCTTTCATTTGATATCAACAACCTAGACCTTTTGACCTTGACCTTGGATATTTTTTGTTCTTATGAAAAATCTTTAACCTTGACCATAACTTTTGAATGGTAAGGGCTAGGACTTTTATACTTTACATATGTAATCCTTGTGAGAAGACTTTTCATTCTATACCAAGAACACTGACCTTGACATTCAGTGATAATTTCTAAATAAATGACATATGATAGGGTGTTCATATTAGACACAATATGTCAAAAACAAATGACATCTCACAACAAAAATGCCAAAGCTGGGGACCACAATTCTTTGAATTTGCTTGATTTCATTGTCACGTTCTTATTCACAAAAATAGCTTAAAACCAAGAATATCTCAACCAATAAAACTTATTGAAATGAAATGAGAGCTTACCTCTGGCCATGAAGAAATGATTGGGAAATAAAAGCTTAAAACAAAACAAGACAATGACACACTCCACTGAGAAGGACCCTCGATCCACAAAGTCACCATTAAATAACTACATATGGTTAAGGGTAGAATAATTAAACAAAGTCTCTGTTAAATAACTACATACAGTCAAGGGTAGAATAATAAACCCTGAAAATAGAAAATAATTCAAGTATTTTTTAGACTTTCTTCCATTTAACATGCATTCTCTGTAAGCACCAAAAAATTTACTATAGGGCTTGGAAACGACATATCTCCGATTTTGATGAAATTTGCACCACAGGTGCACCTTGGTACAAAACCAGCAAATATGGTGTTAGAAGTTTCCCACGTGCACCCGGTTGCCATGGAGACGGATCCGTTGAATTTGGCCATTTTCGGCCATTTTTGACCAAACAAAAGCATGAAAATTGAGGAAATATGAATGCATTTTTATCTTTATGTAGTGAACTCAAATATAAATCTTTGTATCATAAGAAAACATCAACTGTTAAAGAATACAGGGCATATAACCAGTTATTCCAGAATTGACCCCACTCTTAGAAAATGGTTCGGCAAAATAGCATAGTTTCTCAAAATGTGAAAAATGGAAAATTTGGCATTTTTTGAGAAATTTAAGGCTAAATAAAAAAAATTGTCTACGGAAATTTTTCAAATCATATGTGTGTCGTCAAACGTCAGTATTAGTAGTGTCCCCTCATGAAAAAATTGGAGTGGGATCTCAATGCTATTTTTAGTAACATGTATCTAAAAATAGACATATTTCAGAAAAATCCAAAAAATGAAATTTGGGCAGAGTTTTAGATGCCATTGCTAGGTAATTATGAAATATACTGTAAAAGTCAATGTGCTAATGTCAGAGACTGGACACCAATAACTACCATGCATATTATTTTCAGGGATTTCCGTTTTCTATTTATAGCTTCAAATGCCTAAATATAGACATGTCTCATAAAATGATGAAAAATGTCAATTTTTCCTCATTTTGAAGCTCCACTGAATCATAAATAATAAAAATATGGATCTCTCCAATATTTCATCAATAAGAACAAGGAATAGTATAATATCTCACAAATTATTGAGGACAGGCTCTCATCTCTATAAATAGTACAAATGTCTAAAAATAGACACATATGAAATTAACTGTTTAATGTTGATTTTCCACTAATTCTCAAATTAGAGATGGGAAATTTACCAACTTACTGTCACTAACTGTAACTGATATTATGTGACTGACAAGAACAAAAGAACATTCAATGGAATGCAGCATGATAAGCAGAGGTTTCCATTTCTATTTATAGTAACACGTGTTTAAAAATAGACGTAATGCAAAATATCGTGAAAATGTCGTTTTTTGTACTTTTTTTTCTAAAATTTTGGATGAATAATTGCTGACTATCTGTTTTTAATTGCTATTGGCATATGCCTAATGGTGACCAACAAGTAAATGAAAGCCTTATATCAAAAACAGAATGAGAAGCAGAGGTTTCCATTTCTATTTATAGTAACACATGTTTGAAAATAGACGTACTGCAAAATATCAGAAAAATGTAGTTTTTTGTACTTTTTTCTCACATTTTGGATGAACAATTGCAGATTATATGTTTTTAACTGCTAATTGGCATATGGTGACCAACAAGTAAAAGAAAGCATATACGAAATACAGAAAGAGAAGCAGAGGTTTCCAATTCTATTTATAGTAACACGTGTTTTAAAAATAGACATGATGCAAAATATCGGAAAAATGTCACTTTTTGTACTTTTTTCTAAATTTTTGGATGAATAATTGCTGACTATCTGTATTTTACTGCTATTGGCATATAGTGACCAACAAGTAAAAGAAAGCATTATATCAAATACAAAATGAGAAGCAGAGGTTTCCAATTCTATTTATACATGTAGTAAAATGTGTTTAAAAATAGACTTACTGTAAACTATCAGAGAAATGTCATTTTTTGTACTTTTTTCTAAAATTTTGGATGAATAATTGCTGACTATCTGTTTTTAATTGCTATTGGCATATGCCTAATGGTGACCAACAAGTAAATGAAAGCCTTATATCAAAAACAGAATGAGAAGCAGAGGTTTCCATTTCTATTTATAGTAACACATGTTTGAAAATAGACGTACTGCAAAATATCAGAAAAACGTAGCTTTTTTTGGTACTTTTTTCTCACATTTTGGATGAACAATTGCAGACTATATGTTTTAAACTGCTACGTGGCATATGGTGACCAACAAGTAAAAGAAAGCATATACGAAATACAGAAAGAGAAGCAGAGGTTTCCAATTCTATTTATAGTAACACATGTTTTAAAAATAGACGTGATGCAAAATATCGGAAAAATGTCACTTTTTGTACTTTTTTCTAAATTTTTGGATGAATAATTGCTGACTATCTGTATTTTACTGCTATTGGCATATAGTGACCAACAAGTAAAAGAAAGCATTATATCAAATACAAAATGAGAAGCAGAGGTTTCCAATTCTATTGATACATGTAGTAAAATATGTTTAAAAATAGACTTACTGTAAACTATCAGAGAAATGTCATTTTTTGTACTTTTTTCTAAAATTTTGGATGAATAATTGCTGACTGTCTGTTTTTAACTGCTATTGGCATATGGTGACCAACAAGTAAAAGAAAGCCTTATATCAAATACAGAATGAGAAGCAGAGGTTTCCATTTCTATTTATAGTAACATGAGTTTAAAAATAGACATACTGTAAACTATCGGAAAAATGTAGTTTTTTGTACTTTTTTTCACATTTTGGATGAGCAATTGCAGACAATATGTTTTTACTGCTATTGGCATTCAGTGACCAACAAGAAAAAGAAAGCATATACGAAATACAGAATGTGAAGCAGAGGTTTCCATTTCTATTTATAGTAACATGCGTTTAAAAATAGAAATACTGTAAACTATCGGAAAAATGTAGTTTTTTGTACTTTTTTCACATTTTGGATGAGCAATTGCAGACAATATCTTTATACTGCTATTGGCATTCAGTGACCAACAAGTAAAAGAAAGCATATATGAAATACAGAATGTGAAGCAGAGGTTTCTATTTCTATTTATAGTAACACATGTTTGAAAATAGACATGCTGCAAATTCTCGAGAAAATGTAGACTTTCGCACTTTTTTTCTAACATCAGGGATGGTCAAAGTGCAGACAAACGGCTTTTATTTGTTATTGACAGAATGTGACTAACGAGTATGAAAAAGCTTTAGCTAAAGTGTATAAGAATAATGTTTAAGGGTATTTTTACATTTCTGCCTATAGTAACACATATTTATAAATAATCAGGAAAATAAAGAATCATTGATTTTGTTTTTCTCAAATTAGAGATATGAACTTTGCAGTCAAACTTTCATTAGCTGTAACTGACATGGCTAATTGTATTCGGCGCGCCAGCGCGTCCACCTCGTTCCAATACATATATCACAAAAGTATGTTCTCCCTGCATTAAAACACTCAAATGACAGCGATTTTCTTTATAAATTAAGCATTATCGTTTATATTCAGGTCGACAGCCCAAGTCCGATTGAAATTTTTTTGTTAGGTGGATCCAGAAAATTTTCCCTAGGAGGAGGTGGCTCAAGAAAGAAAGAAAAAATGGTACTGAAAGAAGTTCAATTTTGTTATGACCCTAGAGCTTATTGCCATGAAAATCAAGTCTTTAAAAAGGAGATAAAACTCTAGGGTCATAACAAAATACTTTGTTACATTCATGTCAGAAGGAAATTAAAAGTGAAGAGGGGGGTCCAAACATGAAATCCTATTTCATGTGAGGAGGATTGATCTTCTTTCAGTACCTTTTTTTAAAAACACTACCACTTATCCTTATTCGATTACACTGCAAAATGCCTGCTGAGAGGGGGGGGGGGCTAAATCTACTCCCCATTATTTATTACCTATGTGATGTGATGTCTATCTTTGACCCCCCGTTCCAACACCTACATGTATGTTTATACGTAAAATAAATTTATAAAAACCAAAACAACAAATATTTTTAAATGCTTTAGTTTAAGTCTAGAGAAATATATACATGCATGTATAGAGAGAGAGGAATCGAAAGTAGGCCAACTCAAAAGATTTGGGCAAATTTCAGATTACTTTTGAACAAATTGTGGTAAGGCATGCATGGATCAAAGGGGATCTGGATCCCTGGAATATTCAACTTTATTATACACCCCCCCCCCCAAACGAAGTTTGGGGGTATATAAGAATCAGCTTGTCCGTCTGTCTAGCTGTCCATCTGTCCATCTGTCTGTGCAAAAGTGTCCGATCCATATCTTCCTTAATGAGGAACATTAGAATCTACTACTCCACACAAAGATTGCCCATGACCTAAGTGTGTGTCATGACCTTGACCCAGGGTCATTTGGGGAACTTCAAGGTCACTGGAAGAAAAATTTTATAATTCGTGTCCGGTCCAGATCTTTCTTATGATAAACTTGGTGATAAACTTGTGTAGGTTCCAAGGTTATTTAGGGAATTTCACTTGAAGAAAAATTTCAAAGATTGTCCAAATCTTTCTTATGGATAAACTTGGTAGGTTCCATTTACTGCCCATGACTTAAGGGTGTGTCATGACCTTGAACCAAGGTCATTTTGGGAAGTTCAAGGTCACTGAAGAAAAATTTCATAATCGTGTTCGCTCCATATCTTTCTTATGGATGAACTTGGTAGGATCTCATTTCACACACAGACTGCTCATGACCTAAGAGTGTGTCATGACCTTGACGCAAGGTCATTTGGGGAAGTTCAAGGTCACTTGAAAAAAAAAATTATTTGTGTCTGGTCCATATCTTTTTTATGGCTAAACCTGAATCTACTACTTCACACAAACATTGCTTATTACCTGATTTTCTGTCATGACTTTGATCCAAGGCCATTAATGCAAGTTCAAGGTCACTGACAGAAAAAGTTCATAATTCGTGTCTGGTCCGTATATTTAGTCTGGTTTTTTTTTTATTAGGATGCGCCTTCGTTTCATTTATGAAAATATTATGAGCAATTACATTTGCATTAAAAATGTTTTAGCATTTCTCTCTTCTCTTAGAATAAGATCCATTAAATATTCATGATTTAGCACCTCTGAAAAACCCAGCGGGGGTATTTAGTCCCGTTTGGACAGTTCTAGTTTAAACTGACATAGTGATTTGAGACACCGGCTCCTAGGGAAAATTTCCTGGATCCACCTAACAAAAAAATTTCAATCGGGCTTGGGCTGTCGACCTGAATATAAACGATAATGCTTAATTTATAAAGAAAATCGCTGTCATTTGAGTGTTTTAATGCAGGGAGAACATACTTTTGTGATATATGTATTGGAATGAGGTGGACGCGCTGGCGCGCCGAATACAATTAGCCTTGTCAGTTACAGCTAATGAAAGTTTAACTGCAAATTTCATATCCCTAATTTGAGAAAAACGAATGATTCTTTATTTTCCTGATTATTTATAAATATGTGTTACTATAGGCAGAAAAGTAAAAATACCCTTAAACATTATTCTTATACACTTTAGCTAAAGCTTTTTCATACTCGTTAGTCACATTCTGTCAATAACAAATAAAAGCCGTTTGTCTGCACTTTGACCATCCCTGATGTTAGAAAAAAAGTGCGAAAGTCTACATTTTCTCGAGAATTTGCAGCATGTCTATTTTCAAACATGTGTTACTATAAATAGAAATAGAAACCTCTGCTTCACATTCTGTATTTCGTATATGCTTTCTTTTACTTGTTGGTCACTGAATGTCAATAGCAGTAAAAACATATTGTCTGCAATTGCTCATCCAAAATGTGAAAAAAGTACAAAAAACTACATTTTTCCGATAGTTTACAGTATTTCTATTTTTAAACTCATGTTACTAGAAATAGAAATAGAAACCTCTGCTTCACATTCTGTATTTCGTATATGCTTTCTTTTTCTTGTTGGTCACTGAATGCCAATAGCAGTAAAAACATATTGTCTGCAATTGCAAATCCAAAATGTGCAAAAAAGTACAAAAAACTACATTTTTCCGATCCTTTACAGTATGTCTATTTTTAAACTCATGTTACTATAAATAGAAATGGAAACCTCTGCTTCTCATTCTGTATTTGATATAAGGCTTTCTTTTACTTGTTGGTCACCATATGCCAATAGCAGTTAAAAACAGACAGTCAGCAATTATTCATCCAAAATTTTAGAAAAAAGTACAAAAAATAACATTTCTCTGATAGTTTACAGTAAGTCTATTTTTAAACACATGTTACTATAAATAGAAATGTAAACCTCTGCTTCTCATTCTGTATGTGATATAATGCTTTCTTTTACTTGTTGGTCACTATATGCCAATAGCAGTTAAATACAGATAGTCAGCAATTATTCATCCAAAAATTTAGAAAAAAGTACAAAAAACTACATTTTTCCGATATTTTGCAACACGTCTATTTTTAAAACATGTTTTACTATAAATAGAAATGGAAACCTCTGCTTCTCATTCTGTATTTCGTATATGCTTTCTTTTACTTGTTGGTCACCATATGCCAATTAGCAGTTAAAAACATATAGTCTGCAATTGTTCATCCAAAATGTGAGAAAAAAGTACAAAAAACTACATTTTTCTGATATTTTGCAGTACGTCTATTTTCAAACATGTGTTACTATAAATAGAAATGGAAACCTCTGCTTCTCATTCTGTATTTGATATAAGGCTTTCTTTTACTTGTTGGTCACCATATGCCAATAGCAATTAAAAACAGATAGTCAGCAATTTTTCATCCAAAATTTTAGAAAAAAGTACAAAAAACGACATTTTCACGATATTTTGCATTACGTCTATTTTTAAACATGTGTTACTATAAATAGAAATGGAAACCTCTGCTTATCATGCTGCATTCCATTGAATGTTCTTTTGTTCTTGTCAGTCACATAATATCAGTTACAGTTAGTGACAGTAAGTTGGTAAATTTCCCATCTCTAATTTGAGAATTAGTGGAAAATCAACATTAAACAGTTAATTTCATATGTGTCTATTTTTAGACATTTGTACTATTTATAGAGATGAGAGCCTGTCCTCAATAATTTGTGAGATATTATACTATTCCTTGTTCTTATTGATGAAATATTGGAGAGATCCATATTTTTATTATTTATGATTCAGTGGAGCTTCAAAATGAGGAAAAATTGACATTTTTCATCATTTTATGAGACATGTCTATATTTAGGCATTTGAAGCTATAAATAGAAAACGGAAATCCCTGAAAATAATATGCATGGTAGTTATTGGTGTCCAGTCTCTGACATTAGCACATTGACTTTTACAGTATATTTCATAATTACCTAGCAATGGCATCTAAAACTCTGCCCAAATTTCATTTTTTGGATTTTTCTGAAATATGTCTATTTTTAGATACATGTTACTAAAAATAGCATTGAGATCCCACTCCAATTTTTTCATGAGGGGACACTACTAATACTGACGTTTGACGACACGCATATGATTTGAAAAATTTCCGTAGACAATTTTTTTTATTTAACCTTAAATTTCTCAAAAAATGCCAAATTTTCCATTTTTCACATTTTGAGAAACTATGCTATTTTGCCGAACCATTTTCTAAGAGTGGGGTCAATTCTGGAATAACTGGTTATATGCCCTGTATTCTTTAACAGTTGATGTTTTCTTATGATACAAAGATTTATATTTGAGTTCACTACATAAAGATAAAAATGCATTCATATTTCCTCAATTTTCATGCTTTTGTTTGGTCAAAAATGGCCGAAAATGGCCAAATTCAATGGATCCGTCTCCATGGCAACCGGGTGCACGTGGGAAACTTCTAACACCATATTTGCTGGTTTTGTACCAAGGTGCACCTGTGGTGCAAATTTCATCAAAATCGGAGACATGTCGTTTCCAAGATTTTTTGGTGCTTACAGAGAATGCATGTTAAATGATAATAAATATTTAAACGACTAGACTTGGTTGTAAGAATCTATTTTTTGGTGCTTACAGAGAATGCATGTTCGAAAAATTAATGTAAAAAATAAATGTAATGTGCATTAGGAATTAATTTGTCACTTATTTTCCTCGCAATGTTTGTTTGCGTTATTTATAACTTTGAAATGTCATTTAAAGTCATTTGATTTCAAAAACGGCTATTACATCTATTAACCTCGGCAGTTTTGAAGGGCACTAAATTCACATTCAAGATGATTAACAAAATAAGAAAATATGATAAAGTAAAATTAAAGAATGTAAATATCAGTATTGAATTAATATTTTTGGATGTCTTGGGTCCTATAACACACCTGGCCGTGCCGACAAATTATCATACCGCGCTGACACACGGTATTAAATTTGTTGTCACGGCAAGGTGTGTTATTGGACCGAAGACATCCAAAAATATTAATTCAAAGCTTAAACAATGTACACTGTACATCTATGGTGTACATATTAATACATACTCATGGAGCCCAGATCAATGCTGTCGGCCACAGATTTATGATTTTCTTCCACAGCTATCGCTCTCTGAAAAGCCTGCATCTGGACAATTTTCTTACACTCGCTGTACTTAGCTTTCGCATCTTTGTCATTTGGCCGCACTTTTATCACCTTATTGTAGAAACATTTCAATTAAATACAAGAAATTGTATAACTAGGATTGAAAAATCAATATGATTTATAATAAATTTTACAGCATATAATTTGCCTCTCCTTGGGTTTGAACCTAAGACTTCATTCACACAAAGCAAGTGCTCTGCTAGTGAAGTTTGGAAAATTATCCAAAACAAGTTTCAAAGAAATTTGATTAATTTGATTAGGCCTCAGTTACAATTCTTACCGATTCAAAATCTTTGAGAGCAACTTTGAATTTCCCCAGAGCCATATTGGCCGAAGCCCGCCTATAGTAGGCCTGTCAAAATATAAAATAAAGCATTGAATAACTCTGACAAAAATCTTGAGACACTTTCAATACTTGATATCGCGATTACTTAACTTAGCGAAACTCTCTTGCAAAGGAGGTAGGAATCGTCTGTTGGGTGGGGGCAACGTCCTTTTCAATACAATGCAAGATCGATCATTGTAGGATTTATAAGGACAGATAAGTAAAAAATCCTGGTGGAATACCTCGCTAAACAATCGCTGAACCAGTCTAACATATTTTTGATCTCGTTAAATTTTCTTTGAAAATCGTCACATTTTTAAGCAGACAAAATATTCTAAACTTTCCTTAATTCATAATCTACTATTTGGAGTTCAATATCTGGCAAAACATCATGATTTCGGCAATAAATTGTTCGAATCATTCGATTGTCACTACTGTGTCATTTGCCCCCAGAAATGTAGACTTTTCTCGACTCCCCAGCAAAAGAGTGGCAGTAAGTTAGATAACTGTGAGGTACTCATAGGTAGTCGCGATATAACGTATTGAGAACAAAGATCTCAAGACAGTGATACAATACCTTGACATAATTTCTGTCTATCTGTAAAGCTTTGGAGGCGTCACTCAGCGCGTAACCAAAACTCTCGGTCCGGAGATGAGCAAAGCTGCGGTTGCCGTAATAAGCCGCCATGTAGGGGTTGAGTTCTATCGCCTGTGTGTAGTAGGTTATGGCCTGGGAGTAATCTCCATCTACAAAATAATTATAGATACTCTATTTTAAAATATTGATATTATATAATGTTTGAGATGAATACAGTTAAGTATTTCATGTTTTACACTCAATTTTATCCTGATTATGTGCACATACAATATAGTGGTTATGATGGATAACCAGCAAAGCCAATGTAAGGTTGCTGTTTTCAGTAATATTAATGCTGACTCAAAAGGCTGAGAATACTTGTAACATCAACTTATCTGACAGTAGCTGTCTAAGTTTAAACATTGATTGAACTCAGAATGTGTTCTTGAGTATCAAATGATGAAACCACTGTATGCAGGTGATAGCAGAATATTTCAAAATTATCAATTTTGTTTATACACTTACCGGTAATAAATGTCCAAAATATTTTTTTTTAGCAAAACTAGGAGGCATATTTCTCAAAAAAGAAATCTGATATCTGCATTGCCAAAAATTCAGAATTCTGTATTACATGTAGTAAACTTCAATCTTCTGTACAAAGTCCAAAAAAAAAAAATCAAATGATTGAGGCACTAAAATTTAATGATATCCAATCCTCAGACAGGAAGGATAAATCTTTAATTTATAATTTTATTTCAGAAAGTCTTAATTTGAAGCTTGAAATCTTCTAATGCAATAATTTTTATGTCATGTTTTTCAATTTTTCAAAAAAAAAAAAAATCCCTCACAGCTCACTGGCCCTGAGTGCAGAGCATACAACAAAATTTGCAGCTCTCCACCGACAAGTGGTACGTGGCATCTCCATATGAGTGAAAATTTTTGAGAGGGATGTCAAACATCATACAATCAATCAATCACCGGTGTGATTCCATGTCCTTTGATGTTTTTAGAAAATTTAGGTCTTATAAGTTTATAATTTATCCATATCCTTCTACATGCAACAAAAATTATAATTAAAAAAAATCACCCCAAAACATATGACTGCTATAAAATCAAAATTCCTTAATCTGGTCTTACATACTAATGTGTATTAGCATGATATGACATTAGAAGTCATCTGTGGTGTTTGCAATGATAGCAAAACATTTTAAATAATTGAAGTAAAAACAAGAATCTAAAGTACAATATGCTTGTAACTATAAGTATAAAAATTGTTATAAAATTTATTCAAGAGCCTGTATACTTATAATTCTCATTCTAAAATTTATTGATCCATTTCCCATTAGAAACATAAAAGGTAAATACATTTAAATCCCCAGTACATACAAACCAGGAAGTAAAATACCTGACAGGTAGACAACACAAATACCACATGATCAAAGTAACAAGGGAGGATTTTATCAACAAGACGCTATTACTGTCTGAAACCAGGTAGGACATCCTATGCTATAATAATCTGACATAAATGATACAAGCCTCTTAGCATGGTTTGAAGATTCAAAACCATTTTTAAAGCAAAACATTCTACGTGTACAAAGTTTCTTGTATTCTGAGATAAGGGGTAAATTTAAATTTGACCCTCTCCTCCCTCCAAGGAATTCTTAATACTGCATTCAATTATGATGAATCCAAAGGAAAGTTTGTATAACATACAATGTATGCATTTTGTGGTAGTAAATTTATATCTTATATTTATACCCCCCGCTTGAAAAGCGGGAGGGTATATAGTAATCGTTAATTCCGTCAGTCTGTTACGCTTTGGGGTACCCATCTTTTATCTGCAACTCCTCTCATACCACTGAATGAAATTTGATGAAACTTTCACAGAATCTTTATTACATATTGCAATTGTGCACCTCCTATTATACTTTTTGATCCGACACATATTTTGGGTTTTCCGGCCACAGCAAAACATGGACTTTGCCATTAAAACTTAACTAGTATATGGAGGCGGGGGGTATCATTTCGTGAGCTCACAGTACCTCTAGTTTTAAATATTGTATTGCTTAAAGTTTTACCATCTCATATGGCCCCACTTCGGGCCACTTGTTGTTAATTTAAAGTTAGGACATCAATGTAGTACATGTATAAAGGAGTTATAGAGGATGTATTTTGATTGTTGTTTGACATTTTCAAATCAAACATTTTCATTCCTCTT